TTTATATTTAAAATATATTCATTAATTAAATTTAGTTTAATAGTAAATTACTATTAGTAATAGTTATTACTTATTATATTTTAATAATTATTTGATATTTTTATTTTTTATTCTGTAATTTTAGTAATAAGTATAATAATAAATAATAATATAAAATGTAAATATTTTAGTATTGTACATCGATATATCGAAAATATCGATATATCGCGATACGATATCGAGAAAAACTAAACGATATCGATATTATAAATTATATCGTTGGCCAACACTATTGAAGTGATTTAAATAGGTAGGTACAACGCACAATACGATTGTAAAACGTCCAATTACCAGTACGCTGACACCCACAAGTTTATAATTCTGCAACTCAAAAACCTAATCAGTAAATTGTATACAATTCAGAATTAAAATATGATAAAATTGTTGTTCTTTGTACCATTTAAATAAAAAAAAAATAACAAATAAAAGCTAAAATGTTTATTTTTTAACTTTAAAGCTCATGAGGGCACACACAAAAGATTTTTTTAATTAGTACCAGACTATATTTAGACTAGCTCTAAATAATCGCTTATACATGCTAAAAACGGTATTATGCAATAATAAATATACTTCCACGCGCACCAAACTTCTTATATATAAAAGTCTACCAATGTGGACGTACGGTTTGCAATTATGGGGTAGTGCAAAAAAGACAAACCTTAACAAAATTCAATCATTCAAAAACATTGCTCTAAGGAAATTAACAGATGCACCTCCTTACGTCTCAAATTGTTCCCTTCATTCAGATCTTAAATTAAAAACAATAGCTGAGGAATCCAAGTGTTTCTATAAAAGATTATACAACCACCTAAGCACTCATTCGAATCCACTTATCAAAAAATTGGCCTCCGTTACCATACCAGATAAATCCCCCAAGACGCTTAAAGCGCAAGTGGTGTCGTGATTTGTTACAATAAATTTAAAAAAAGAAAAAAAATTAATTTAAGTAAATAATTAATAACCACAGAAAGTGTCATCAATGGGTGGCTCCTTTTATCAAATTATTTTCCTGTGAATGTACTTTTAGCATATATTCTTATTGTATCAATGATACAGATTGTATATTACTTGTAAAAATGAAAAATAAATAAATAAATGTACATAGATAATATCTTAACGGCCCGTTATTTTAGGGACCGCACAGGACTTCAAATTTAAACACGAGACTGAATTCGGACCGAACCACACTCAAAAGATAAACAGAAAACCAAATCCGGACTGAACCCATGGGCCATGGTTACATATTATTTTTTTTTTTTTTTTTTTTATTGAACTTAAGCCCGGCAACTAGGGCCATTAGCTGTTTATAAGGGTTACGTTGTAGGTTGGTACGGTAGGTTGTATTTTTTATGATTGTTACGGTTGATAGCAAACACGTGTATGTGTGGCAAGGTTTTTAACCACTATGATCCCGAGTGGTCACCAATCCGGGAGCTAGTAGCTGTGGCCGTTACTTAATCTCAGTCGCATTCCGCGACTGGTAGCAGCCAACGCGCCACATACATATTATTTATGAAATGAACTAGACCAATAACTAAATTTAATGGAATAGAGTAAACTAGGACCGGACTGTCAGTTCGATTTAAACATTTTGGGCTATTTATGAACCATTAGCCCGAACCATACGATGCTATAATAATAATACTAGGTAGTCGTTATAATGTTGAATTTCCCGAGATTACGTGTTATGATTTATGAATTCTATAAATAAACATAAAATTATAGCAATAAATTGACCTTCAAGTCTGACGGGTGTTAGCCGATGATATTTACGGATAACCGACATTTAGTAATTAGTACAATAAATTTATAAATAAATATGATTCTTGGTAATTTTTAGACATACTTTCCCTAGTTTATTTTCATCAAGCTTGTATATTTTAGAAAAATGTTTCTATTTTACTAATGGTTTGGAAGGATCCAATTAAATTTATAACATATAATAGTAAGGTATATAAAAAACCTTTTTATGTATTTATATTACCTTTAAACATTTTTTTTTGTATAAGCGATTACATAATATCGTCTTAATGAGGTGAGGTGCGTCACTAAAAAAACAAAAACTTTTCTAGTTGTATCGAATGAATCACAAAAACTATTATTTGAATTCCCTATCTTTCCTGATATGCCCAAGTTATTCCACATGGTCCTATTTGTACTGACTCCATCAGTAGTTACTAGTTGGTCCTAAAACCTGTGCTCCTGCATTTTCTAATAACATTATTGCTTTCACTACCTACTAATTTAGTCAAATTTATTACTTAAAATTGTTTAAATTTTCGTATATTAAATCTGCATTATTCTAATCAATATAATTTACATACTATTTACAGGATCTTCAGAAGCAAAAACTGCAATAGGTTGTGTAAAACTATCTACAAGACTAGACCACATAAAGGCCAAATCATGATCTGCTTTTTTAGTGTCTCTACTTGGAAGTTCTCCCCCAAAATCTTCCAATCCTGAATAACTTGAAGTATGACTGTTGACTGATATACTTCATCTAATAGTAAAATGTCTTTTTTTTGATAGTGACTTTTGCTTAACATTGTTTTTTAGAAGTTTAAAAAGAAATTAAGATCAAATACACATTCATTATTAATTGCCAAAACATACTTCCTAATAGTTTTTACACAGGGAAGTGGAAGTATGTTTTGGTTTCTTAGAAATCTATATCCACTTGGGCTTCTGAAAATTATTAATTTGTATGATTATTTATTCATATTATATTTTGTAATAACTAACCTAATCTGTAAAATTAAGCATAATAGAATCCAGATTTAGCAGCATTAAATATTTCATACTAAATTAGATTGACAGTTAGATAAATTAGATTTCTGAATTATATCATTTAATGTAGATAATGAGACTTTGGATATTTTAGTTTTGATATTATTCACTGTAATTTCAAATTTTTAATTGTTTTATGTGCTCTTGAGAACTTTTGGCTTACATTTTTTTTGGATTTAAGATTTTTTTTGAATTTGCTTTTTTTTGCTCAGTGTTAAAGATACTCTTAAAGACTTTCTTGCTGACAATATTTCAAAATTTTTATTTATGGTATATTTTAATCTATTACACCATAGATATACTTGACTATTTAAAACAGAATTAAATTAGAAATATTATTATTTTAAAATTAAACTATCAAAGAAAATTTAAAATGTTTCAAAATTTAATATCTAGAACTATCTTCTATCTATAATATTTAAGCAATTTGCATGTCTCCACTCTCCAGTGACCATTGAATTCTACAAATTGAGAGCCAAAAGAAGTTTTTACATTTTTATTGGTTTTTAAACTTCAATTAACTTTAACTTTTACAAGTATATTTAACATGTATTCAACATTCAATGTTTCATCATAATTATCAATTCCAACCTGTGATAACTTAATTTGTTTCTCATTAAGGTAAAATGTTGGCTCATAATCTATAAATATATTTTTATGGTAAAGTTAAGTTAGTATCAGAAGTACACATATTTTTTTATATATTTTTTAACTAAAAAATTATTATGTATTATATTAGTCATTATGACAAACATTTAGATTTCAATGTTTACTTATTTTAATACCTTTTAATATAACTAATCGTTTTTCAACAATTCTTTTATTGTATACTAGAAATGAACTGAGAATAAAATAAGTTTTAGCTATAAAAGATTTATTATTAGTAGTAACACCACAAAACCAATTCATAAGTAGTGAAATTGAACTTTCAATTTTCATCATTTAACAATACATTATTTTGAATTACTATTTCAGATATTGATTCAATTAGTTATTGTTATAAAAATTATAATTTATTCAAACTTCAATACATGCTCGTTTGTCAAACTCATCATTTAGTTCAACTTTAAAATAATTATATTCGTTAAGCACTGTCATTGTTTCATTTACTTAATATGTTTAAATTTGTAAAAATAAAATATTTGAACTATTAATATATCTATACTATTTCCAAAACTAACCTGGGTTATATCATTTACTTCATTGCTTAAATAAAATTAGTGATTGGTATAATTCCAGATTTTAATTGTGGTTTTCTTAAACAAATCTAAAAAAAAAATACCTATTATCTATTAATTTTTATTTATATATATATATTCATATATTTATTAGCATGAAGTTAGTTACCAACCAAAAAAACTTGAATCTAATAAATTCTTATCGTACTAGGTAATCATAAATTATTTCAATAGGATATACCGAGATTTGGTTTCTACCATTACCAAACTCCCATGTTGATGTAATATCACTAGGTTTAAAGTGATTTGCACAAACTCTTGAATTTCTGTTTAAACGACACCCTATAATGTTTTCTCAAACATTTATCATATTTTTAGGAACACCAAATTTAGAAGTAGCACTTTAACTATATCCAGGATCACAACATTTATTGGAAACCATATTGGAATAAGTGTATAAAATAAATTGCTAAAAAGTTAAACGATGGGCGCAAAGTGCAAAAGCAAATTATTGAAGATTGTAATTTATATTATATTGTCATCTTAATTTCAAATCCCAAATATCCAATAATGAAAATTCGCAGGTAAATATTTAAAGATAACATTGATAATAAATAATTTTGTATTTGGTCACAAAAACGCTAGCTACTATTCTCATACAAACCATCAACTGCTTATATTCGAGAACCTTTGGAGCTTGGGCATCATATTTGTAGTCATTTCTGTAGTTACTTATAATAATATGTATTTTTTTTATAGTATGTACTGTGTAGTTTCGTATCCTATTAAATTTATCTCTAGCCATGCTAGAGCCATATTATCTATGGTAAATATAATAACTAAGATAATTTATCTCGATTCACGGTTAGGTAACCATGGTAACTAGGAAGTAGTAATTACTTAAGATTTTTTTATAGGGCCACACTGTTCCACGGCTGGTGATGGACATTAACCAATAACCATAATAATAAAAAATAAATAAAAAATAAAACTTGTTTGGACAGCCATGATCGATTATCCACCATTTCGATTCTAAGCTCGTTGTTTTTCTTATCAGGTTATTTTATTATGATTAGTGAAATTAGTGAATGATTGCTGAAAAGTGGAAACTGTAAAATACTTGAAGAGTTGATGATTGCTGAGGACTACCTACTAAATAGCGAGGCTATAATGATTAACATTGTATAACATTTTTAGTTATCAAATTAGTAATTACCACTTACCAGTCACTACTTACTAGTTGCACCTTGTTTTTTACAATCTCAAATTAACGGTTTATTCAGTGTTAAGATAAGAAGTGTAGGTATTATATCGATTCCAAATTTCATTTTTACTGTGAAGTGTGAATAAGATCACGCTAATATAGTTATCTAGTGAACCGGAATTCTTCCAATTATACAACAACAAAAAGGTGAGATTTAGCAATATTTCATTAAATAAATTCAAATACAAAATATCTAGATATATTAACATTATGTACTTGGTGACGTAATGAAGTGTTTAAATACTTTTAGTTTAACTATTTTTTTAGAATATCCAATCTATCAATTTTATTGATGTACATGTTTAATAGTTTTAATTAATAATATAAATAAATGTATACATTTTGATATATTTTTTAGTTATCTGCGTTCAATTTCTATTTTTTATTTCTATATGTTTCACCATATCATTTTTAATTAATAATTATTGCACTTGGTACTTATAAGTGAATCATAATTTATCAAACTGTTTCATTTAATTATTCACCTTTCATCATATAGATCAGCGATTCCCAACTGTGAGACGCCATTGTTGTATTTAATATATTATTATAACAGCCATATAAACATTGATTTTGTATGTATTCACTTTAAGTACTAATACAGTACTATAAACCAACCGGTGGTCTACAGGAAAATCTGAACATTATTTGTAATGTTGTGTTTATATTCTTAATATACAAAAGTATTGTATAATGTCACTGTATGTTCAGTTTATGACAAAAAAGAATAAACTAGTAATATATTGTCATTATTACCGCATGTTATAATAAATAAATAGACCTAATATTGTATAACATATAATGTTGTAGGTACATGTGTTGTTATCCCAATATGTTTTAAAAACACTAATTATTCGAATCCAGTATTCATTTTAAATATTATTTTTTTTCGTAATCAATATTAATTAGACCAACTTAAATAATTTTATTGCTAATAAAAATAATTCTTTATTGATATTTTATAAAATATGTACTAATTTTATTTTATTTTAATTTAGTTTTGAAGATGTATGAGTAGTGCTATGAATTTGTAGAAAAGTGCATTTTTTTGTAATTGAGAAATGCAGTTTTGTTAATACATAATTTAAATTATGTAACAACAAATGCATTCATGAAACTTTTATTTTGCATTTTTTGATGTTTTTTATTTTAAAGGTTATTTTAAGAATTTTTAGGTCATATTTTCCTTTTTTTAGTTAATTTTCCAGTATTTTTAATTAAATTTCATCTATTACCAGAAAACCTAATTGTTAAAAATATAAATACATTAAAAAAATGTTTCTGATGAATATAGGGTTATACAAAATTCAAATTCAATCAACATTTTTTACACACAGTAAAATGCAATATTTTCAGCTTAAATTAATTCAACCTCCTATATTTACTAATAGTAAAATAGTTAATAATTAGTTTACCTGATAGCAATATCAAAATATATAACACAAAATACACTTGGTGATAAAGGTTGAAAATCCGTTTCTTCTCAAAATTATTTTTTGTGTAAAATTATATATCATTGAATTCAAATTTATCACATTCATTGCAGTAAAACACAGAAGAATGGAATAAGTTTGTGATAGCAGCATTGGACTTTAATAGCTTCTTAAGCTGTATATGATAATGATGATTACAGTAAAATACTCAACATCTAATTGTACTGTAGAGTGGTACCTACTCACTACATTTTTTATCCTAATTCATTACTAAATCTCAGAAGGCTTTTTAATAAGTTTGGTCTAGTAAAATGTACTTTTATATTATTGTACAATTTTTAAATTTATTTGCTGTTAGTTGTTTTATTGTACTAAATTAAGCTTCTTGAACTTATAAATGAATTTTAATTTTAAATTGTTCTGAAATCTCTGATACTTGTAAAAATTGGAATAGTAACTATCATAGTTTTCATAATAAGTTAGAATTCTATATTTTTCTATGTTATATGGTTTTCTATATACTATATTAGGTTACTATTGAGTTATACATCTGATTTTTTTGTCTTATAGGTTTGTAAATATTCATCAATATGAGTAAGCGCAGAGCTGGTAATGAACTAACTAAAGATAATTGGGATGAGGAAGAAGAAAAAGTGGATCCAGGAACATTTCAGGTAGCAGACGAATCTGTGTTGAAAAACCGAATTTTGAAAAGAGCTAAAAGAACATTACAAAGAGATGAATCTGGCGAACTAAAACCAATATTTTCTGGATTTTCTGGATTTAAAAGTGTATCTAATAATTTAAATTCTAAGCAAGCATTTTCCTTTTTGTCAAAATCTAATAACACACCCAGCGAAAGTGGAAATCATCCATCAGCATCAACAATTAATTCATTGACCACGTCTAGTAGCTTAACATTTTCAGAAAATAACAGTTCAAAAAGTTCAACTCCGCCAATTGTTAATCATGCTAAAGTGATGAAACTTAACCAAGCATTTGTTAAATTTATTACAAGTGCTGTGCAAAAAAATCCTTATTGTGTGTTAACACCTTCATTGAAAGATTATGAAAAACAAATGAGCAAGTTTGTCGATCTTTCTACTTTTAAAACAAATACTCCTGATTCATCAATGACTTCTACTAAAGGTTTGCATATTTTATATATTTATATTTTGAATTTTAAGGTTAGGTTAAAAATTATAAGCTAGTAATTATTTTTAAATATATAGTACATTTTATGGTTTATCAAGAATGTCTAATTACTAAACTGTAAATGTTGATGAAATTTATTTTTGAATACACAGTAAATCCTCATTAATCCGGACAATCATTTTTAATATGCAAATTATACTAGTTTATGCTGTACACTAAAATAAACCTGAAGACAAGTCCCACAAATTTCACTTAAAGGCAGTTTCATTAGCAATTTTTTTAAACCAGTAATTGTTTTAAGTGCAGTTTATGGAGGTAAAGCCTTAATATATAGTAATATTTTACTTTTTGATATAAATTATAATTAAATGTATGTTTGTACTTCAAAATGATTTTGTTAAGTTTAATACTGTATTGAATCATATCTTTTATAATATTTAATGCAATTTTTTTCAATTTATAATTTACGATTTTTGCTTATTTTGTCTAATCTAGATTTTCTTTAATTCGGACAACCTAGACCTCTAATTAGTCTGGACTAATGAGGATTCAATATATTCACCATGTATTTAGTATATTAAATACTTAATGTAGAATAAAATACAATTTTAATGAATAATTTAGCTTTAATATTCAGTTTAGATCTAAGTATTAATTGTAATATTAAGAATTTTAGTTTCTGTTAGGTTGATTTGAACTTTGTAATACACAATAATATATATAGTTCTGATAAAAATGAAAATGATGCAATATTGGTGTGTACTTTTTATCTTTAATAATAATATATAGCAGAGATAGCCAACTTGTAGCTTGTGTCTTATTTATAAAATCAAAATTTACTTATTATTATGAACTTTAATTTTTTGTTTTAAATAGATAAAAATTTATTGAACTATATAAAATGTATTTATGAAGATTTTGGCTTTTGGTATCATTATATTTAATATAATCATTATTATATTTGCAAACATATTAATGTTGGCCTCCTTTAATATATAGTTTCATTGATATTAAATTAATTTTTCTGCAGCTTTTATAGTAAATATTTTTAATGCCTTTTCTAGAATTTTAAATATTATGATCATATTATACTTGACTTCAAACAAATTATTGGTCAGTGGTATCACCCACAGTGATCTACTCTTTGCCCGAATACAATTATTTAGGTGATCGAACAAGAGTTATTACTTTTAGTAATTGCCATATACAGATGATATCATTATAGCTTTACTCTAGTCGTAAAGCATTAATTTTATGCACTTTTTTATAATTCTACAGCTGACTAATGTACAAAGACGCGTGGTTTAATTACTTGGCTGGAATATAGTTAATAATTTGGTCAGGTCAACAAATAAATGTTGGCTTCTTAACTTTATAAATCATAGAGCTTAAGATTAAAAAAAAGATGCTTTTACTATGATTAGATGGCGGCTGTTAGGAAGCAAAGCCACTGACTGCTGATTTGTTTGACATAAATTCTTCACCATAGATGTAAAAAAAAAAAAAAAACTACCTATAACATTCTTAAAAGAAAGTAAGAAGTGCAACCATATTCTAAACGCAATGCTTACCAAATGCCTTAATAAATAAGATAAAATGTAAAAATTATGTTTAATTATTTAATTTCAATAGTATTGTCTATTGTTTATGCTCTTAGTACTTAAAATAATTAAATTTTAATAAGTATATTAAATAAATAATTACTGGTTATACTTATAATAATAACTAAAATTTGAAGTCACCTTAAATGTTTTTTTTTCTCTTTTTGTAAATTTTCATTGACTAATACAAGTCAAATTTATATTACACTCTTATATTGTAGATGTTCTATATTTACTACCTAGTAATTTACACTTGGTATCTATTTATCATTGTAGTGTCGAACCATTACTTACTACTATTTTGTGAAGTTAGGAATCATCTCCCATAAAGTTTAAAGCTTTTATTCAAACAATGTATTACAATTTAATAGATGGTTTTTAATAAAATGTTTCAGTTTCTCCTCAAATATCAGTGATGGAAAGTAAAATAACACATACAAAGAATTCAGATGAAGTAAAAAATAATTCTATCAATGTCCAGACAAGTGAAACTAGTTTTACAAGTCCACTTAAAAATTGGCCTAGTTTTGGTAATAAAAGCCTAGATGTTAATGGCAAAGAATTAAGTACAAATATTTTTAAATCTGATAATACGGCTAAAGAACAAATTAAAGATAAAAATGTAGAAACAAAATCTCAAATATTTTCTTTAGAAGAGTCAAAGAATACAGCAACAGAAACTAATGGATTTAAATTGGGTAATTTCAAATTAAACAATCAGTCATTGTCAACTTCTACTAAAAAATCTCCTGGATTTAAATTTAATGAAAAAAATGTTGTGCCTACGCCTACTTTGGATGGAAACCTGCCAACTATAAATAAACCTATTATAGGCACAAAATTAAACACCAAGCCTCCATTTAATTTTGGAGGTGATGTACCGTCATTTTCATTTACATCTTCAGTAGAAAATAAGAAACCACTTTTTAGTTTTGGATCAAAGGCACCTGTCTTAACATTTTCTCCTGAAAAAATGAAGTCTGAGATTTTAAGCTCAAAAGATGAAGATGAAGATCAACCACCAGTTGTAAAATATACACCTGTTAAAGAAAAAAATGCAATTTTTGAATCTAAAAGTAAATTATTTTGTTTTAAAAATGGAAAATATGAAGAACTTGGAGTTGGTCAATTGTATTTAATACCAGTAGATAATAAAAAAATACAATTAATAATGAGGAACGATAATGCCTTGGGAACTATTATGGCAAACACGTTACTGAATGAATCTATTAATTTTACTAAACGTAACGCAAAAAATGTTCAGTTATCATGTATTCTTGATCCTACAAAAAATACTAAACCACAAACAATTCTATTCAAATTTAAGGATTCACAAATCACTGATTTGTTTGAAAAAGAACTTAACACATTAAAAAAGTAGTCCGAGTATCGGTTTTAAAATAATTGATTTTCTTATTTGTACAATTTAATATTTTTTCAGACTATTATAGGTGAAAAGATACATAATATTGTGTGATAAATATTAATCTGTGTAGGTTTTATCCATATTAAATAAACAATAAATAATATACTTTTATGTTTTAATTATTAACCGCCATGTAATGTAGATATAAATGTTATATTGTCATTATTCTTGATTTGATATTTTAAATCACCTAAGAGTTCCCAATCTTGGTCATTAATAGCTACAATGATGCCTGGTCTCACAGTATTGCCCTTCATAAACAAATCACATTTTTCTTTGTCGACCAATATGTTGTCTTTAATCCAGAATAGAAGCAATTCCAGTGTCCAAGGCTTTTCCATTTCTGGCAATAGCACTTTGTGTTTCTTAATGTTATTAAATAAAATTTGAAGTCCACTTGTAAATTCGGTAGTTATACTCAGTCCCTTTTCCATTATGTTCTAAAAGTCAAAACGAAACATATCGGGAATATTTTAAATACGAAAAAATGAAAATTTAAAACATTACAATTTATCTGTTACCTGTAAATATGGGGTTGTTGTATTAATCGTATTACAAGATCTTATACGTCGTTTCAACGTATATCATTTATGTTTAAGTTATAATGTTACTATGATATTATTGAGCAAACCAGCTAAATAATAGGTAATGAAATTATTACTTTAAAAATTTAAAATTCTCATCAGTATAATTATTTATGATAAGGAGATTTGATAATTCAGTTTAACATCAGTACAATATCCAATCATAATTTAAGAAAACGGCAGACTGGTTACATGAAAAATATTGAGCAAAGTCAATAACGTGGTAACGTGGTTAATCGAGTATAACCACAGAACAATAACTATACCACTGATTTTTTATATCATAAATGGTACGTTTAATCTGTGATAATACTAACAGTTAACTTTGGATTTTAGAAGCGGGAAATGCATGTTTTTGATTAGTGATTACGCATATTTCTTCGATAGTTCAATATTTTAATCTACTAATTATTTTACTTTATAATTAGTGACTATTTTTGAATAACAAATGTCATGGGGCCGATTCCAATCGATCGTATTATAAGCATAAGCAGTGAAGACCAAGTAAATATATATTTACTCTAAATTAATATTTTTATTGATGAATTATTATAAATAGGCACACAAAGCGGAAAATATACTTAATGTCTCAGATTCACATCAGACATGGCGTTGTAAATCAGGTGAAAAACAAGCTACGGTCATTCTTCAATTTTTAAAACCGTCAGTTATTAGTTCCATTGATGTTGGAAATGATAATTCTGCTTTCATAGAAATATTTGTTGGAAAATCTACATCTGATGAATTTCAAGTAAAGTTTGCGTAATTATAATTAATTTTCCCAACTTTCAGTTTATTCTATAAAATTTACATTATAGGTGTTATTAGTAACTTCTTCCTTGATGACATTGCATGAATGTAAAAATGGATTAAATGTAAACAAAGTCCGTTTCTTTGACACCGACCATCTATCTTTGGCATCTAAGGAATCATGGGATAGAGTAAAAATTGTGTGTACACAACCATATATCAAACAAAGCAATTATGGTTTATCGTTTATAACATTTCATTCAAAAGATATACCACAGAAAGAACCTATCCAGTCACAATCTATTCAGTTAGGATCATTTACATTAAGAAATGATGATGAGTCCAATGATATTTCATTTGTTGGTCGATTATTTTCCAAGCGTAATGAAAATAAAGACGTTGTTAGGATGCCAGAATCACCAGTTAATCGTTTACTTGCAATACATAAAAAAAACTTGGAAACAAAAAAACATAAGAATACAAATTCTACAAATATTGATATTCAAACACCTTTTATGAATCAAAAGATATCAAAATCTCCAAAAAATTCTATGAAACCAAAAAACATTGATTTAAATATTAAAAAAAATGACACAATTTCAACGGAAGCTGTTAAAAATAAAGGTAGAGTAATATTGTCCTTAAGTAAAATTAAACCTAATCTAAAAATGTTAAATTTTGTATTCTTAAGTAACTAATTTAAAAAAAATCATATTATATTGTATATTCGTTAGGTAAAAATATGTATTGAAACAATTGAAACAATATTTACATTTTGCAGTAGAGAAAAAATATTTATTGGGTTGTATTACTTTAGGAATATTTAGATTGTGTGTTATAACTAAAGCGCGGATTTTTATGCACTTAAAAGTATCGAAATATGCCATATAATATGCAGTAAAAATCATGAAAATATGCAGTCAAAATTATGAAAATATGCAAGAATTTTTTATTTATTTAAAATTTACAATAAAACTTATAATAATTAATTACTTAAATACTTAATAATAAAAAATTTAGGGAATTTTCTAAACTTAATTTATTTTTAAAATTGTATTTATTATTAAAATGAATAATCATATGCATTTCAAGTTTTTCTTCTGTGAAGCTGTATCGTTTATCGGTTTACATATTTTTAAAGACTGAGAACGAACGTTCGACGTCAACCGAAGTTATTGGGGCATATTTGAAGCAACTTAGTATTATCGGATCTTGATAAAGTTCTTTGAGCTGAACGTTTTCGCTTAATAACACTGAATTAATTTTTCGTAGAATTTTCAGACCTTCATTTTTATTGGAAAGCTCGTTTAATTTTGTTGTAAGTGTTACACCTTTCGATCCAGAAATAGAATGCATTTTTTCTTTCGTTTCGTCAATTATTGAAAAGCTTAGATGTAAAGTTATATTTCGAGTTTTCAGTTTTTTTTATGACTATCACTAAAAATGCCAAATGAGTAGATATAAATGTTAAATCATTCTACTTGTCAAAATATTATCTTATACACTTTTTTTAAATTTTTTTAAATTTTCGCTTCAATATGCAATAAATTTTGAATTTTGCCAAAATATGCAAAAATATGCAATAACCTTTAAATATGCAGAAATATGCAAAAAAAGATTTCACCATTAGCTTCAAATTATGATGATTCGTGGAGATAACTGACAAAAATCCAAAAATATTAAAAGGAAAAAAATATGCAATTGCATAGAAATCCGCGCTCTAGTTATAACATATTATATTTGTTAAATATGTATATTTATATTATCTTAAAAATGTACCAACTGAAAAAATTCATCCTGCACATAAAATACCTATTATTATTTAATTGTTTGATTTTAGTTGACATTTTTTTTGTAGTTTAGATTAATAAAATAAATTAAAATCTTTTAATTAAATGTAATTTAAATCAAAATTTTTTTCTTTTATCTATTAAATAAGCATAGATTAATAATGTTATACCTAATGGTCATTTGTACTTTGTTAAGCATACTAAAAGATTACATTCATAAAATTCTGTTATATAGTATATTTAAGTACAATATTCTATGTTACTCATATGAAATTTTTCCATAGTATTTTTTACAACTTTCACAATAAGCATGAAGTATATATTATATATTATACTTATATATGTATGTATATTAATATTATTTTTTTTTTTTTTTTTTTTTAAGTGACTAAAAAGAAAGAATCAGAGCCATCAACACTAAACCTGCAACCATCTAAAAAAAAAATTAAATTAATGAAAAATCCATTACCAGTAACTAAACCGTTCAGTGAATTATTGAACAATGTTGTATTTGTAATGAGTGGCTATGAAAATCCATATCGCAGTAACATTCGTTCAAAAGCTTTGGAAATGGGTGCGAGATACAAACATAATTGGGATTTGTCTTGCACACATCTAATGTAAGTATAGTAAATTAAATTATTTAATTAATTTCCGAAATCTTTATTTATTTTAATGTTTTATAGATGTGCTTTTATAAATACTCCAAAGTATCATGAATGCAAAAGACAAGGTATCTATCGTATAGTAAAAAGTGATTGGATTGATAAATGCCATTCAAATAGATGTCGATTTCCATGGAGAAGGTAGTGTTTAAAATAAAATATATTCTATTAAACTATTACTAAAACTAACTTATATTTTAGGTTTGCTTTGGATAAATCGGAACAAAATAAACCTGAAAGTGAAGATGAAATATGTGCATGTACTGATTCAGTTCAAACTGATGATAGCGATGATGAATGGAATATCAATTCTGCAAAGTACTATATTTAAATATTTTAAAAGTACTCTAAAGTTTACATTATTTTACCTATTTATTTTTTTGTTTTATAAGGCCAGTACCCTCAACATCACAAACAAGTAGTTCAGTAAATCTAAAAAATACAACAATATCACCATATGATTTAGATACTGACATTGATTCAGATTTAGACATACCAAATGATTTATTAGCTGATGAAAGCATTGTACCATTGCCAATTATTGATGATATATTTCGTGATTGTTTATTTTATTTATCTTCCAGTTTAAACTCTTCATTAAAACAAGAATGTAATCGCTACATAATAGCACTTGAGGGGTAATATATTATACACATGACAAAACATAATATATTTTTCATGCATGTGCTTATTATTTATTTATTGTTTGTATTGTTTATGTAGAAAATTGAGTGAAAAGGATAAATGTGATTATATTATTTCAACTGATGCAAATGATTTACAAGTATGACATTAATTTAATGTTTAAATTTTATTTGATTATTATTTGAAATATACATTTTTTCAGGCTAAAAATGCTGTTACTCCACAATGGATTTGGGATTGTTATGATGCAAGAAAAATACTACCGTTAAAATAAAACTTGTCTTTCTATTCCTAAATAAAAAATATGTAATGGTTTAATCCTCTGTACTTTAAAGGTGTTATGTAATATCTGTATTCGTGTTTAATTGTTATATGTAATATTTATTACTAATCATACCTAACATTATATATAATATTTATTATTTATAAGTATTTTAGAATAACAATTTATAAATTATGTTTTTTCATGATATACATTTTGTTAACTAAATGCTCTGAAATTTTTTTAACTACTATTCTTAAGATGAAATGTTAATGCATAATAATTAGGGAATTAATTTCATTGTAATTGTATAAGTTTAACCTGATTAATATTATGTAAGTTTAGTTTATTCTAATTATTAATTAAAATTAACCTGATTTTATTTTATTTTTATTGCTTAAAAGTTTCTAATATATAAATGTATATAGTTCATGATAACAATTTTTTATTAATAATTTTATTAGCATTGCCGTAAATATTGTTTTTTTTTCATACAATAAAACATCTGGGAACTTGGAATATGCCTTTGTCAGATGTTTAGTTAAAGAAATATTTTAGTTAAATCTAAAAATACAAGTCAAAATATTTATTCTCTTATTCTTAACGTTTCTCATAGCTATACAAAAATACAACAGAAATCCATTATATTTTGAGAAGAAATAATTATTTTAAGGGTGAATATTTTAACATACACTCCATTTTCACTAGTAATAATTTAATAATTATTAATTAAGTATTAACACTATTAACTAATTATTGTGTGTCACTGGCTTTATAGGTAGTTATGAGTTTGTGATATTTTATCTATACGGACTCAATTTAAAGATATTAGGTAATACCGTAATAAGTTGGACTCAATTCAAACATGTAAAAGTAGTATGGACTTAATTCAATATTAACGGATAAATTTAACTGCATTGTAATTTCGTGAGTAAGTGATGCATTACTGCATAGTGCATTATTAAATCGTATTGATAGTTGATACTCAAATTATTTTATTTCAATAGCAACAGTTGGCAGTAATTTTTAAATTTCAAACCTTATCATTTTTTGAAAAATTACTCATCACGGCAATCAACGATTCTAATATTGTTATCACAGAATAATCAGTGTTATTATCTTAAATCGTGGTTTGAGGGCACGTGAAATTCTATTTGCCAGCTTCCACTATTGCAGTTACCTACTTACCTATATTGTATTGTATTATTCTAGCCGGTTAGTATACTATACTTATCTTTGATTAGGATGATTATAGCAATAGTGACTATTTAGTGATATAATGTGTGACATAAGTTTCTAAAAGTTCGGTGTCACTTTCATTGTTATGTTTAAATTGTTTTAATTCATATACATATTAGAAAATACACTTTGCAGAATTGGAAACATGACAAGGTTTGCCAGAGCTCGAGGATCTAAATCATCTAATCAAAAAATACCAGAAGAAGCAACACCATGGATGGAAATGAAAGAAAAGCCACAACAAACCAAAGATGACGAGTCAATGACAAGCGTTGTGGAGGTATCAGAAGATAATCGCAGTAGCAAGTATAATTCATATTCGAACGTGGACAAATTTGATGGATTTAGTGTGTTGAAAGAAGACGCAGTTAAACTGCGAGTGGAAAAATTCAAATTAATAAAACAAGGTGTACCCAGACATCAGCTGAAGGCACAATTGATGCCAATGCGTCGACGTGCTGAGAAGAAACTATCTAGGCTCAGACAAAAATCATGTTTTCATTGCCGACAACCTGGTCATATGCTAAATCAATGCCCAGAGTTGGGTAGCAACACTGCACTTGGAGTGTGCTTTAAGTATGTTGCTTATGTGGGATATACATAAAAAATATAGTAGAAAACTAATTGGTGTTGACTTTGCTTCACTGTTTCTATTCTAATATTTTTAGATTCATAGGTATCTATTTTCTTTTGCATTACTATTTAAGTATAATGTTTCAGATGTGGATCAACAGAACACAAATTACATGAATGTCGTAATGCAGGAAATAATAATGAACTTGAATTTGCCAAATGTTTTATTTGCAAAGAAGAAGGACATCTTTCACGCCAGTGTCCTGATAATCCAATGGGTTTATATCCAAATGGAGGAGCTTGCCGGTAATTTATTTAAATAAAGATAGAATAAGAATAAAAAAAAGATGTATTTATGAATCAAAAATTCTATTCAAAACAATATATTTCCTCACTTACCAATATTTACTAACTTATAAATTTAACCATATTTCAGCTATACAAACTAATTAATTTTGTAACTTTAATGCAAAATATTTAATTTGGTGTTATTTAAAAAAAAAAAAAAATTCACAATAAAGAGCAACTAAAATGTTTCCAGTCCCCTTGAAATTATTTTATATTTAGTTAAGTTTGTCTACAAAAAATAAGATTCATATTATTTATTATAATATCTTATTATATTTGAAATTAACATAATTTTTCCTTATTAATTAAATACTTATGTTAATAAAATATCAATTATACAAAATAAAGCAATTTTTAATAATAAATGTTTGTAAATTATCAGATCTTGTGGAGATGTTACCCATTTTGCCAAAGATTGTCCAGAAAAACAAAAGAGAAAAAGAGAAGAAGATTTACCTACAGTTGGAATAATGGATAACCGAGCAATTGAAGATTTAGATGATGAAAGAACAAGCTCCAAAAAAAACAAACAATGGGATTTAAGAACATTTAAAAAAAAAAAATTAGTCATAATGAAATAAATGTATTTTATAATATTGTTCTATGAATAAACATTTTAAAAATAAACTGAAATTTTTTAATTTTTTTAGTAGCCTATAAATAATGTGTAATATTATATCATTGCACAATTATCATGAAAGTCGATTTAACTAATCAATAATAAAAAAAAATAAACCCTAATTAATTTTTTCAATAATGTTGGCTGATAAAAAATATTTGATCCTGCAGGTACTATGTAATAATTTGCTATGAAATTTTTTTATTGTAAATTATGATAATCCAAAAAATGTTAATAAAATAAATCAATTGATTAAATATTATATTGTGATGTTTTACTTTTCACATATTCACTATTTTGATTTATAGTGCTTACTGCATTAGGTTATATACATTGGATGATTTAAAGTAGACTGTGATCACTCCTTAAACATTTAATGAATAAATAGTGTGTTTATAGTTTGGTTCCTTCTAAATATGTTGGTTCATTAAATTTTAGTGAACCATTAATAAGATATTTTTTGGTAGAAAATTATATGATAATTGGGGATGTCTTGTCTTAAAACAAATGAATAGTTCCTACCATGAATCATAATATTATTGTTTGTTAAACAGTTTTTGTTTTTATAGATCTATGTTGAATAGTTATGCTTATGTATTATTACGTTTATTAAGAAAACAATATATTTTTGAATAAAAATAGACAAATTCACCTACAACCATTAATTATAATAATGGATAATTTATGAATTTATACATTTAAATTAAACAACTCGTACAATTATTTTGTTTTCAAATTTTTATGATGTATGGTAAAATATTAATAATTATATATATATAAATAGTTAAAAATACAATTTGAAAAATTTTATGTATACATATTGTTTAACTAACTTAAATATTTTATTTTCTTAATAAAAAATCAAAATCTTATTTTAACTAATAGAAATAAGAATTTATTATTATTAACATTTTTAGTTTTATGATTGTATAAACAAATAGAAATGTTATTGGTTATTATCATAACAAACAAAATACATTTTTATATCTTATAATATTTCATGAATATTGTAAGTAAAATAAAATTCATCATAATTTCACTTTAGAATAATCTTGTATATATACCTATAAAGATAAACCATTGACAAATATCAGTGATGAGGAGCAGTGGCGTTCTCAGAAATTTTTTATGGGGGGGGGGGGTTGAAAATTTACTAGAATAAAAAAGTGGGGATCTCTGCCCCCCACATACCCTTTAGTCATAATAATTTGTATTGTTTTAAAAAATTATATTACACATAACACATTATTATTTGCAATCATTAATCATTATAATAAAAAATCTAATTTTCTTGCCTTTTTTGCCACATCGTCCAACACTTCCCCTGCTGTTAATGGCACATCTCCATGAATTGCTAACTGCATAAAACTATATTTCTATTTCATACCCATATGAAATAGAAAAAAAATACGGCCAATCGGGGGGGGAGGGGGGGTAAACCCCTTGTGAATACGCCACTGGTAAAGAGTAGATAAACACGTTTATTCATTGGGCATATTATTATATTATTCAGTGTGACGTAGGTATTAGGTATCTACTACATCGGCCTTCCAAAATTAATGCAAGTCATACTATAATAAAATATACACTATACCTTTTATATAAAGTATTGGACTATTAATGTCTATTATTACACATAAAATTTAAAAGTAACAATGATAACTATTAACCTTGAAATTTTGCTGGGAGAGTCTATTTTTATTTTAAATACTTGGGTAGCAGATTTCTAGGCTTATAAGTGTCATGCTTGCAAACTGGCAAATAGTAGCTACAAATATTGTTAAGTAGGTAGGGTAAATTTTGACTATAATGTACAATATTATATACGTAATTTAATAAAAATGCTTTTTAATTTTAATACCCTTAAGATATTTTTAGTGCTGCAATTATACATAAATGATTTTATAGTTAAGGAAAAAAGTTATTTTTAATACTAAAATTTGTACCAATTTAGTAATTAATAGTTATTGTTAACTATCAGGTAGGCTTTAATATTTGTATAGTATTACACTGCGTCACTGCTTATATTTTAGTAAATGTCAAGTACCATGTTTATTATTTCTTTATTAAGTTAATGAGCCTCCACTCAAACTTGTAAAAAAATACTATAAAATATGTTATTAATAATATATATATAATAGAGATGTTGTAACCCTCTATTGGTAAATTGTTATAAATATTCAAATTCGAAACTACTCATGTTAGGCACCTATATCAAGTCTTAAAATTACAAGGAAAGTACCTACTTAGGAAAATTGCAGAATTTTTAATACAAGTAATAGTTTTAATACTAAGCTTATTCAACAATAATTATAATATTATAGTAATACAACTAAATAGGTACACAATTTCTTATACTGACGAGTCGACATTTATTA